GAAGGCTGATTCTCATCTCAGAGGCAGCTCTGAGAGAGAAGCCTCATTGCATTATTTCAAGAACACTCAGTAATGGAGACTTTTACCTGTCAAATGAGTTTCACAGTCTGACAAATTTTCTTCATTTTGGCAAGCCTCAAACATACTGGACAATTTCTGCCTCCCCCCTCCCCATTTTGTTTTCTTCTTTCTAAACATCCTTAAATCTGCTCTGTTAGTGAGTGGCTTAAATTGATTGTTTCAAATGAAAACAATATAACATAGAAAAGAGAACAAACAGTAAAATGAAAACAAGTTTTTTTTTAAACTAGAGAAACAAGTATCTTGTATGTATTAAAGTTGATTAACAAAGATATTTTAAAGCATGAAGTTCATGTTGACAAAGGAAGAAAGAGCTCCAAGGTTGGGGTAGGATTGAGAACACTGGAGAGGTCATCCCATGGCCATGCCAAAAGGGAGCCTGTTCACTGCTTCAGAACACAGCGGGGACCTGCCAGAGAGATTTGCCTCACATTTTCAGAACCCACTGCGATGTGGGAAGTCCTTCTGTATATATGTTGCTTTTATTGGTTAATGAATAAAGCTGCTTTGGCCTATGACAGGACAGAATATAGCCAGGCTGAAAGAGATAAATATGGAGAGTAGATGGAGTCAAAGAGATGTCATGTAGCTGCCGAAGGAGAAAGACACCAGGTCCTTACCAGTAAGCCATAGCCTCGTGGGGATATATAGATAAAAAGAAATGGGTTAATTTAAGATATAATAGTGAATTAATAAGCCTGAGCTAATAGGTCAAGCAATGTTGCAATTAATATAGTTTCTGTGTGATTATTCGGGTCTGGGCAGTTAGGAATGAACGAAGAGTCTCTGCTTACACCTCTGTTATATTCCTAGTTCCTGGAGACCATAAGTCTTCAATAGAGGCTATGGGAAAAGGTAGGAGGAGGCTGCTGGAAGGCAGCTGTAACCCACAGGTGTGCTTGAGGAGTAGGCAGTATCTTAGCTACTCTTCTATTGCTGTGAAGAGACACCATGGCCAAGGCAACTCAGAAAAGAAAGCATTTAATTGGGGCCAGGCTACAGTTTTAGAGGGTTGGTCCATGGTCATCATGCAGCAAGCAGGAAGGTATGGTTGGTGCTGGAGTAGCAGCTGAGAGCTTTCTATCCTGATCCTTAGGCAGGGAGAGAGAGAGAGAGAGAGAGAGAGAGAGAGAGAGAGAGAGAGAGAGAGAGAGAGAGAGAGAGACTGGACCTAGTATGGGCTTTTGAAATCTCAAAGCCCACCTCCAGTGATATGAATCTTCTAACAAAGCCACAAGACCACACGTCCTAACTGGGGACCAAGTGTTCAAACATATGGGGGCCATTCTCATTCAAATCACAACAGGCGACTGGGACCAGGGAAGATGCCCCAAGGGAGATGAAGGCAGGTCTGTGCACAATTCACAGACCTCCATCTTTCCCACCTGAGCCACAATCTACAGCAGTCGCCTTCCTCATCCATGCCCTTGTGATCACAAAGCTGTCTTCCACCTACTCCGCTGTGGTCACCAGACACTAAGGAACCCAAGTCCTCCACCACGCTTTCCCTCTGTCCTCAGCCATCCACACACCTCACTAGACGAGATCACTTCTCAGATCTACAAGTGAGAAAATTAAATAATTGCACAGTGGGGTCAGGGGACACACAGGTCACACAGGAGGAAGAGCAGAGCCAGGATTGGCCTGCCTCTATGTGCTCCAGGTGTGCAGGTGTGCCTGTGTGTGTGTGTGCATGCATGTGTAAGTAAGTGTGTGTGTAAGTGTGTGTGTGTGTGTGTGTGATATGGTTTCCATCTCTTCTGTTTTTTCATCTCTTCCTGGGAGTGAGGTTAAATAGCATCAACCAAAACTTAGAAGGAAGCAGCTGTATCTCCATGGATTCCTTGGGATCCAGAAGTTCAAGGCTCATGGTAGACACTTGATGAATACATGGAATACATGTATACTATACAGGTCACCTCCCCAGTTTTATCTGCCTTGTGTATGGTGTTTTATCTGAACCTAGAAGCCCATAAGGATCAACTAGACTAGGACCAGGTGCAAGCGGCAAAGTTGGCAGCCCAAAGGAATTCACAAAACATTCCAGTTCTCTTTGGTCAACTCCCCCTCTCTCAAACCACCCAGAATTAAATAATGTCACCCCCTTCTCCACTGCAAGCATGGCTAGTGTTCTCCCAAGGAGTTTGGGAGAGGCTTGTCTTGGTGGTAAGCCTAGTCTGTTGGGGACTGGGGTGGCGTTGGAGGTAGCAGCCACATTGTCACTGCCATTTTGATTTTAGGAAGAGAGTATGAGCGAGTGCTTTATCTCAAGTGAGATTCGAGGCACCAGGAAGCATGCTGATGTACCTGCAGGCCAGATTCCTTCCCACGGCTGGTTCTGAGTTCAGAGATGGCTCTCCTTCCACTGCCCACTGCTCAGAGAAAATGATTATAAGTAGGCATCTAGTAGAGTTGGGGTGATCGGGACAGTGTGCCCAGAGAGCCCACCCAGGGAGGACAATGGCAGATACAGCTACCTTGAATGTGTAGCTCTCAAATATCTGAGTAGTTTAGCCACCTCATTGCTGTCCAGTGTTTCCTCCCCATCTCATGCCCATTCCACATGCCTACCAATACTGTATTGTGTGCAGAATTATTTTTGTATTGATTATGACTTAACATCCTAGGAACCAAAACCAAGCCTATGATGGATTCCATGACCAGTCCTGGTTTGTGGAATACCTGCTCTGTGGGTGAGGAAGTGTTTTGCCATGTAGTTCCTCTTTAAAGGCTCAATAGTGATGAATGGCTAGTTACAATAGTATGTTTTAACGTGGAGTTGGGACACACGCCTGTAAGCCTCTGGTGCAGTGGTTTTCTAGCTTGTGTGGGAGGACTCCATCTTCAAAGAAAACCTTACCTGGAAGCTGACCTAGAACATACTGCAAACTCTGACAGTTTGTGCTATGTCTAGGGCTTGCCTCCCACACCCACAGGTCCAGAAAGGAAAACATGCCTGCACTCCCTGCCCAGTTAACACCCAGAACACAGCACCTACTACGTTCAGGAGGGGGAAGAGAAGAGGACAAGGATGGCTTCTGCTTTCTTCTCACTTACCCTACAGCAGACAGCAAAGGTCAGTTTAGAATGTGGCCACTGCTGTGAACGGGGCACACTGGGGTGTTGGGGTCTAGCTGGGAACTGGCTCTTTCAAATGGGACACCAAGAAAGGCCACAAGGGATGGGCTCACCCTGGAGCCAACATCAGAATGGTACTTGGACATGCCCTGATGTTGGCCAATGGGAAGCAGATCCATAGATCGAAATGACTTTTTCTAAAAGCCCAGGCAATGCTTAACTCTGGGTTTCTAGGCCCCCATCCTTAGGGTTCTTTCCTTCACAAACATTAACTAAGTAGCCACCACATGCAAAGGTCTCTGTGACAGATGACGTTCAAGGGCCACAAGCCTCCTGACCATGTCTTGGTGTTGGGTACTCGCTGTCTGTGTATAAATGCTGAGCTGAAACTCCCCCACCCCCTTACTCTGACCCAGGACTGGACTTGTTTCCGAAGTCCCTGTGCCACAGAAGGCAGAATTTTGCAGGGAATGACCAAAACTTGTGGGCTTGGGGAACAAACATCTTCACTTCCTACTTTCTGGGGAGCAAACTGTAGGGAGCTAAACAAGATGGCAGATCGAATCACCCACATTCTCCTGGAGGCAGGCTTTCGGCAGAAGTAAGGCTCCCAGGGTATTTGAAGATTATTGAAGCCAGTTTCTTTTCTGTGCTGCCGAAGACATTGATACAGAAACTGTGGGAAGCCTGACTGTAATTTCCACATTTCCAACTGAGAGTCCAGACGCCGGCTCCAGACAGACACCCCTCTGGTGCTGAGTGTAAGGGCTCCCTTTACCACCGCAGACCAAGCAGCTGCAGACCACCAGGGCTTTCTCAAGCCGCCAGCTGGCACCTGTGTGCCCAGCACCATCCCCTTGCCTAAAGCCCCATCCCAGGCATCCCCCCTCATTGTTCCTCCAGCTATCTAGGAGACATGTAAGACCACGGTTACTGGCTCCGCTGTGTACAATAAGCCATGGAACTCTGATAACCTTCCTGGGTAAAGAGCCGTGACACACCAGTCATGGCAGCTAAATTTTCTATTAAGTCACTTGCCGGGGCCTCTGGTTGCTTCTTCCTGTGCACTCTGAGGTCTAGACCAAGTTAAGATGCCAACCAGCCCTCCTCTCGCCTACTTTCCAGCTAGTCATTTACGTGAGCACTGTATAATCCACAGGAAACACGTACATCCCAGAATCGTCTTCACTCCTGAGCACAGGAAGCAGTCAGCTGCAGACACAGGGCTCAGCACGTGCCCACAGGTGACAAGGCCTGCCAACTCAGAACTCCATATGCTCTAACGCCCAGCAGGACCCTGAGGCCTGGTGGATAGCCCAGCCTGGGAAGACAGACTAGACTGTCTGGGAACAATCCCCCAGTGTCCTGGACTCAGCAGCTGCCAGCAGTTAGCAGACCCTGCTTTTCATGGGGTCCTGCAGCCTTGCCTCCGCTAACAAACAAGAGGCAGCCCCTGGCATTTGGGGTGGACAAAGAGGGGGGCATTTTCCGGAGGGACAGTTATGCACTGGGTATGCTGCGTGGCCCAGGCTCTATCAGAGGCCCAGCGAGAAGTTCATCATAATCCCCAGGCAGAAACGCAAGGCAGACGTTTAGAGTAGTACTGACCTCCCCCAATTACCTCCGCTGAGCATAGTGCAACACCTACACAAGCACCCACCACAGGTCCAGTGGCTTCCTGTCCCACCCTCACTCAAGGGCCACTTTCCTGCCCACCAAGTCCCTCTGGGGTCCTGTTGGGGATGGGCAGCTGAGCTGGGGGCGTCCTCTGGGGCATCCCCTTGGTACTTGGAGCCAGTCCCACCAGCGGCGTGCTGTCTCCTGCCGCCACCTGCACTTACCGGGCCACAACCGCTGGACTGGATGTAGGGAAGGATCGGGATCCTGGAGCGGTGACTGCTGCTGCCCTGGGCACAGCCTTCTGCCCAACCCCGCGCGCTCCCTGCCTCTCTTGCAGCCTGCTGGGCGCCCCTCTCGCAGACTGGCCAGCTGGGACGCGCCCACAGGCCCGGGGCGGGCGGGGACCGGCTGCTCTTTGTTTGGAGCTGGCTTTTTTTATTTTTCTTTCTCCAGTTCAGAGCACACGGAGCTCTTGGTCCTGGCAATTGTGCAGAAGTGGCCCCGAGAAACTTGTGGGGTGGGGGTGGGGCGGAGACGGAGAGGCGGCCATCCCAGACCCACCCACTCACTCTAGAATCCCCGTCTCGGACTTAGATTGGTCCTCATGAAGAGGAGGAAATCTCAGGCTCCGGGAAGAAGTAAATCCTTGAGGGGTTCCACGGGGTATCCAGACGAGCCTCTCACTTCTCTCCTTACTCCTGCGACACAAGAACCATCTCTCAAAGTCATGCGGACCATCGTTTTTACCCTCCGTGGAACCAAAGAAAAGCCAGATCCCTTCTTAGACTGGAACACAATGGAAGGGCAGACAGCAGAGGCCCAGTCTTTGCCAGTGGGTGAGGGAGCAGAGTTGCTGACCCCAGCTGCCCAGCAGCGGGGGAGCACCCTGTGTGATCTACAGAGAGGAACACCCGCGCTTAGCCAGTCTTGACTGCAGTGAGCAAGACTTGCTGCTTCTTAGTTATTTTTCTTTCTGCTGTGTCAAAATACCTGGCAAGAACAACTTAAGGAAGGATTTGTTCTGTCTTACAGTGTGAGGGTGCAGTGGGTCACAGACGGCACAGTGACAAGAGCAGAGGTGGCTGGCCACATTGGGTCTGCAGCCAAGAACCGGAGAGGGATGGCTGCTCAGATTGCTTGCTTTGCTTCTCTTTGTTATCCTGTCCAGATTCCAGTATGGGATAGTGTCATATACATTCCCTCAGTGAAACATCCTCCTAGACACATCCGAAAGTGTGTTTCCTAGCTGATTCTAAAGCCAGTGAAGTTGACAACTGAGTCCCAGAAGGCAGGGAAAGCTGAGCTTACCTGGCTACTGAGGTACCAGCGCCCCCTAAGTACCCAGCTAGCTCCTAAGCATGGGCTATCACAGGGGACATGAGTTGGGACTGCGGTTTGGATGTGTTTTGTCTCCTTCAAAATTCACCCTGAGGGATTGACGAGGTGGCACAATGGTTAACAAAGAGTACTGGCTGTTCTCCCAGAAGACCCAGGTTCAATTCCCAGCACCCACATGGCAGCTCACAGCTGTCTGTAACTCCAAGATCTGACACCATGGTAGAGATACATGTGCAGGCAAAACACCAATGCACGGGAAATCAAACTCATCCTGAGATTTAGTGCCTAGGGTGGAGGGCTGTGGGATCTTTCAAAGTGCTTTGGGGGCTGAGGGCTCCTGGAGGGATTAATGCTGCTCTCACAGAACAGGGCTGATTCTCTTTTGTGGTCCCACACTGGACCGGTTACACCAGAGAGCAGGTTATACTTATTTCATTTTTATGTGTGTGCATGTCCATGTGTGTGGATGTGTCCATGTGTACACAAGTGCATGCATGTGTGTGTGTGTGCGTGTTATTATAGAGCACAATGTCCCCCTTTTCTTGAAGGCAATAACTCCCCTCTTTCACTTTCTACCACGCTGTAACAGTGCGAGGCTCTGGCCAGATATGACTGTCCATTTTGGGGCTTCTCGAGCTTCCGAACAGGAGCTAAATAGACTTCAATTCTTTATATGTTGTTCAGTCTCGGGTATTTTATTGAAGCCGTGGAAGATGGACTAAGATAACGGGATGGAAGGATTTAGAGGAGGTGATGGCGATATGTGTGAGAGGTGAACTGGGTGTGGGAGTGATGAAAAAATGCAAGTAGAGAGGGCAATAGAGAGCTGTGTGGCAGGAAGAAGAGCCTTGAGGGAGGGGCCTGGGGTGTGAGGGAGGGGCCTGGGGGTGGGGGGGAGGGCCGGGGGGTGTGGGAGGGGGCTAGGGATGTGGGGGGGGGTGAGGGAGGGGCTTCGGGTATGAGGGAGGGGCCTGGGGCGTGAGGGAGGGGCCTGGGGTGTGAGGGAGGGGCCTCGGGTATGAGGGAGGGGCCTGGGGTATGAGGGAGGGGCCTGGGGTGTGAGGGAGGGGCCTGGGGGTGAGGGAGTGGCCTGGGATGTGAGGGAGGGGCCTAGGGATGTGAGGGAGGGGCCTGGGGATGGCGTTTGATATGCTGAGTACTTTGGAAGTCTGGAAGAGCACCTGGAGTGGGCAAAGCCAATAGGGTTTGAGATTACTCAGAGGAAGGTGCCCATCCGTGTGCTGGAAAAAAAATGATTCTGAAAGTCTTAGGAGGGGTGGAAGCAAGTTATGGAGTGACGAGAGAGGGTGAGATGGGAAGAGTGGAAAGGAAGAGCAGACAGAGCTGGAGACGGAGCCCAGGTCTCCCGAGGAAGGAAACGGACACCATCAAGACAGATGGTGGAGCCAGGCTGCGGCTGCTGGACTGCAGAGCATGGGTGAAGAGGGAGGGTCAGTGGCGGCTTGTTATACAGGGAGAGCAACCAGGAGGATGCTCAAGACAGCAGGGTGTAAGGTTCAGCTTGGGGATTAGGACACTTTTGGACACTTTGAGAATAATTACTTAGTACTGACTTGTATAAACCAGCTGGTCATTTGGTATGGCTCGGGTCTTAAACATCCGCCATTGGCTTGAGTGTTAAAGGTTTGGTGCTTTGGGGAGATATGGAACGTTTAAGAGATGAACCAACAACATAGAAGGTGTCTAGGAACTGGGACAGAGACAGTGGCCTTTCAGGGCTATTAGAACGCTGGCCTCCTCCCCTTTCTTTGCTCCCTGGCTCCTGTAAGTGAGCAGCCCTGCTCTACCACAAGCCCAGAGCAATGGTGCCAAGCAACTGTGAGCTAAGAGCTTTGAAACGGTGAGCTGAAGGAGACCTTGTCCTCCTGAGAAATAACTTATCTTAGGCATTTTGTCACGGTGATGGAAAGCTGACTGATGCTATAGTCTCAGCAGAAGGAATGGAAGGATCCTGGACCCAGCTCGCAGATGCAAGGATATACAGGCAAGTCTCTTGGTTCCATTCTAGAGGTCTCTGAAGGCCACTCATGTTCCACAGCTTCTGAAAGGAAACCCCCAGTGTAATCCATTCTCTACCGAACTCTGTTTGCTTCTGTCGTAAGGTGTTCCAGGAGTACCTTCCAGTGGACCTTCTGCATGCAGATCTCTCTCTGATGTACAGTATGGCAAGAATAGTTAATGTCAAGCTGGAGAGATGGCTCAGAGGTTAAGAGCACTGTCTGTTCTTCCAGAGGTTCTGAGTTCAATTCCCAGCAACCACATGATGGCTTACAACCATCTGTAATCAGATCTGGTGCCCTCTTCTGGTGGGTAGAGATACATGCAGACAGAACATGGTATACATAATTAATAAAAAAATCTTTTAAAAAGTGCATTAAAAAGAAAGATAAAAAAGAATAGTTAATGTCTTAGCTTATTTTCTGTTGTTGTAACAGAATACTGAAGATGGTGTAGGATATATATATAATATATATATATATATATATATATATATATATATATGAAGTCTGTTTTAACTTCATGGTTTTGGAGGCTGGAAGTCAAAGATAGTGAGACTTTATCGGTCTGGCTTTTGGATATAGAGTCATTGAGGAGGTGTTAGTGGTACAAAGACTAAGTTGTGAAAATAGAGGTAAAACACATTGCATGAGCATGAGGCGTAATGGGCAGTTAATAATGTCAGGAGCAAGGCTTGGGCAAGTCTATGAGATTATGGTCTTCAACTTGACATAAAATGAGGAGCAGGGAGAGTCAGAAAGGGTCAGAGAAGCTGGCAGTAAAACTCAAGGCAGACAGGGCTAGGGAGATGCCTCAGTGGTTAAGAGCTCTGGCTGCTGTCCCAGAGGACCTGGGTTCTATTCCCAGCACCCACATGGTGGCTCACAACCATCAATAATTCTAGTCAAGGGGATCTGGTGCCCTCTTCTGGCCTCCACATGCACGTGGTACAGACATGTATGCAGGGAAAACACACACATATGAAAAAAATAAGTAAATAAAAACAAGGCAGAAGTGGACCATAAAGGGGAGGGCTATTAAAAAGATGATCAGGTCAGGGGAGAAGGGTGGAGTGTTTTGAGCAGGGAGAAGCGAATTGTGTGGGGTAAGGATGGAGGGGAGCTGGGACTCATCATAGTTATTAATAGGATAACAATAATTAGGAAAGAGAAGACTAGAAAAACACCCTGAAGGGATCTTTGAATGACCCTAGACACCAGAAGACAAGGAAGCATCTAGGCTAGCTCATTCCTTCTCCAGCAATGTCTCTAGTGACACTGAGTGTCTAAAGGCAAGAAATACAACATATAAGTTAAAAGCTGCCCAGAGCCATGCTTCAACACATGAAAACAGGAGGAGAGGGGCAATGGTAAAGGTTACAGCCCTCAGATAGGAGGAAGAAATATCACCGGATCTGTTGTTGGCATGTTGGGTATAGTTAATGTCTAAGTTTGCTTTCTGTTGCTGTCATACAATGCTGAGAATGGATAATTTACTTTTTTTGTTTGTTTTTTTGTTTTGTTTTGTTTTGTTTTTCAAGACAGGGTTTCTCTGTAGCTTTGGTGCCTGTCCTAGAACTAGCTCTTGTAGACCAGGCCGGCCTCGAACTCCCAGAGATTCGCCTGCCTCTGCCTCCAGAGTGCTGGAATTAAATGTGTGCACCACCATTGCCCAGCGATGATTTACTTTTGAAAGGAGGTTTATTAACCCATGGTTCTAGGGACAGAAAATGACGTGGTTGTATTTGCTTGCCTTTTGGTGGAGTGTGGGTATAAGAGGGAGGTACTTGCAAAAGAGAAAATGGTCAAGGGAGGGAGGACATGGTAGCATGGTGATCTCAAAGAAATGGATGCTATTTCTGAAGAAAGACCAAATCCCTCTTGGAGGCCCCGTTGAAAATTTCTCTACACTGGCCATGAGATTGCAGCCTGAGTTGTGGGAAACTGTGTTCAAGCCACAGGCACTCCTAACAAACCCTGCATGTCTCCACAGTATGAAGAGAGCGACCTTCAAAGGCTCTCATCACAGAGAAGCCAAGCGCTGGGGGTGATGAATGGGCGAGTTCATTCATTTTATCAAGCCATCCTACATTGCATTAAAAATTATAACATCTCCTTGTAGCCCATAAATGTATGCAGTTATGATCTGTCTGCAAATTCGATATGTAAAACACCAGGTGTGATTCATTTTAACGATGTGTTTTATTTAATGAGAT